AATACACCTTTGCACACAGGTACTGACTAGTATTCCAATTTTTCTCTCCCTCATTCAGCTAATGTGACCCCACTGGTGATGGAGAGGGGCAGGGGATTGGCAAACAAGGATGCTGTGCAGGCACCCAATGTCCTCCTTATCAACTGATGACGTCATTGGTTGTTAGGACACTGTCAGCTAGAAGGTTGTAATGGTACGCAATGAAAACTTGTGGCTTTGTGTAACTAAAAGGCAGGCTTGATCCACTCACTGGCTAGTATACAATTTTTAGGCATTTTGCCAAGGTACACCTGAAGAAACCTGAAGGCACCCTGGTTTAAAAAGTCTGTTTTATAGGATGTATAAACTTTATTTCTGATGGGTGTGTGTATGTGTTCAGCAGTATATTCCTGTACTCAATTCGCAGTAACTTCACATTTGGATCTATCTACTGCTTGTAGAGTTAATTTACATGGAAGCCGAACACTTGAGCCTTGCCATCTTATAGCTGAGCTTAGTCCAGCAGGATGCTACTCCCAATATGCTACCTGTAGAGTTTATTGAATCCTATGAACAACATGCCTTTAACATACACAGGCATTTAATGAAATTACTGAATGTAAAAACGTGCACGTGGATGTGAGTTTGTGTCTTACTGATAGCAGAATAGGAAATATGTTCCAGCGGCAGTAAGCACAGCCAAAAGTGGTTGAGGCTCAACATTGGTATTCTGACAGTTTCTCCTGTTTCTCTTACCTGTATGTAATTGGCCATTTCGTATAAGCGTGATGGGCTTGTAGAGTGCTAACACAGATATATTAGACAATTTTTATTATTATTTTTGTTACCATAGAGCTTCCAAGACCTGTCTTTTTTCCATAAGCTTGGTCACTTTGAACTCACGATAACATACCCGAGGAGTATTTCACATGTAGCCCCGATATCCTGACATCATGCAGGATACAGTTCATTGCCAGAGCTTTACAGTCAGCTGATGAGACCATTGGCTTTAGGCCCCTTTCACACGGGCGTTCTGTATGTCTGTTTTTCATCTGTCCGTTTTCGGATTAAAATTGGACCCCCATGTATTTCTGTGGACTTGGGGATGTGCACAGATGAACATCTTTTTACTTCCGTTAAAAAAACAGATGTTGATGGTTGCGGAAATTAACGGAAGAAAACCCTAGTTTTTTTCCGCAAAAAACCCCAGAACGGACGAAAGACAGATGTCAACGGACCAAAAACAGATGTAAATGGATGAAAACTGATGTAAACTAATAAAAAACGGATCTAAATGGATGTAAACCAATGTAAATGGATGAATAATGGATGTAAACGGATGAAAAATGGATGAATAAACAGATGAAAAACCGGATGTAAACTCATCCGTTTTTTCTTTGAAAAAACATGACTGAACTGAAGAAAAAAAAACCAGAACGCCCGTGTGAAAGGACCCTTATTCATCTGTATCTGAATTAAGATCTCTCGATTGCCACCAATCACACTGAAGCTTGCAATATAATATGATAGTTGGGGAGTACAAGTTTTAAATATAGAAGCAGTTATTATTCAGCCACTTTGATAAATAAGAGCCAGTTTGCTTTTTTGAACATCTGGCTGTCTGCAGTATGTTCCATTTATTACCGATTCAAAAGTGAGAACATTCTGGTCAAGCAGAAGAAAATGATTGGTGGATAGATAAAACAAAGCACTGAGAACATAGACTGTGGCAGTACATGCTGAAGAGTTTTACTAAAAGTACAGTATATTATTACTCAGAAAACATGAGTGACACATTCTGTTTTATTTTTCATTATATTGTATATTACTTCATAGTGATGCAGGAAAGGTGTTTCATAAAACTACCTTACTTTATGGCTGATGTATAAAATGTTTGCAGCATGAAGAAATAAACCTATTTATCCACAGCAGCCAATCCCTTCCAACTGCCATTTCTGCAAATGAGGTTTGAACACGAAAAAAGGATTTCCATTGGTTTCTAGGTGCAACCAGAAATTTTCCTGTTAACTCATACTTATGACCTTTTTGATTTCTACATATGTTTGTGGGACATCAGTACAATATCAGTGCAACTCCCCTTGCAAAGTGAACACCCTATTTACCTTTAGTAAATCATCCTTATAGTATCTTATAATTTACTTTATTTAAAGTGGTTGTAAACCCTTCCATATACCAAACTAAGTGATTGACCTCAAGTGATATACATAGATGAAACAAATCCTCCTACATAAATTGTACCTGTTTATTTGCAGTCCTCTTTTCTCTACAACCATTCAAAGTGCAGAATTTATAAAGCCCGTCTGAGCTTTCAGAAAGCAGGGGGCAGGGAACTGAACTTACATTCTGCAGAGCTGAGTAAGAAGAGTTCTGAGAGCTGATTGGAGGGAAGGGACACGCACCCTTCACAGAACACACAGAGTTGAAGCTGTCAATCACAAGCTATGTGTTGGAGCTCCCTCCCATGTCACCCTTTTATCTCTTGGTGTCAGGAAAACTTGTCAGAAATTATGTATGCAGATAGCAGAGGAACAAGGCAGCAGACAAAAATGACACTTAATGCTCTGGATTGAGACAAGTACATAATATAAAGTGATATGCTTTGTTCATATTTCATGTCTGTGGTTTACATCCACTTTAAGTGCTAATCCTACAAAGCCTTGTAGGAAGTGTTATCAAAAGCGTTGGTGAAGACACGATGATACTTTTTGAGGTGGGAGTATAATTGTGTTTGAGTATGTTTCAATATAAATATTAAGGACCCTTTCACACAGGCAGGCCATCTGTCCATTTTTTGACCTGTACATGGATCAAAACAGACATCAAATACATCTCTATGGGTGGGTAGATATAAGAGGACTTGCATCTTCCTACTGGATGAAGGGCCAGGTATGCGTGGGCCAGTGCCACTATGGAGATTTCAGACCAAGGCCCTGCATTAAAATCAAATTAGCCTTCACACACACTGATCTCATAAGAGACCAACTTTTTCTGTATGCTGATCTCAGCTTGGTGCAGAGGTCCAAACTTTCAGTAAGTCATATTTTTATGATGGAATATAACAGGTAACCGGAAATTAGTGATTTGTTGCTTTTCTTCTACTTGTGTGACTGCTGTTTGTGACAGCAATAGATAAGATGTCATTAGAAAATTCAACATTTTTTGACCCAAGCAAAGATAATTTATTCCATGAGGTGGAATGATGTTAGACAAAGAATGCACCCTGTGGTATATGTGACCTAAAGACTTCATCAGTGCTTACTGTAGAATTGTCAGTAGACTAGATTGGACTAGATATAGAAGAAGCAAATACTTGGCTTATTCCCTGTCTAGATTTTCATACACATTTATTTCAACCATCACTAAGTACCTGTGGACTGCAGGAGCATAAACAAAACACAATTCTAGGTGTACAGCCTAAATTGTTGTTTTCCATGCAGTTTCCAATAGCACTCTTGGCCACAAAAAGTCCAGTTTTGTCCAATTTGACTTAAAGTGTTTGATGTAGACATTAGGCACACCACCCTGAAGCTTGACTATGAGCCTCTAACTTCTATGAGTGCTATTTCCAGCCTCAGGTCTTATTGGACCCCTAAGGCTGCAAAGACTGGAAGCACCCTGATAGGTTGTTGATACCACCTAAGTATTTTCTGGCTTTGGTGCAGATTTTGTTTAGAAGAGGTCTATTCTAACTGTGGATCCTACTTTGAAGTTTTGGCTTTCTTAGGAGAATATCCGTGTGCACAATTATTGGGCAACTATTATTGTGCAGAATTTTTATGCAACAAAATAAAAATTTTCCCATCTCACGTGTTTATTTTCATCATTAACCGCTTCCTGTCCACCATGTAGCAAATATACTGCTACAGGGTGGCATGGGTGCGCAAAATCACATATATACACGTGTTGCTGCATTTCCGGGTAAGGGACCCTACCCGCGCCACCATTCGCGGCTGTGAATCACCGGGTCCCACCTGGTGATTACTCGCCAGTGCTTGGTGATTGCCGAGGATCTCCAACGGGGGGAGAACTGTTAGTAAATAAAACACTTCTCCTCCCTGTCAGCCCGTGCACACTGCTTTGCATGGCTGTGCACAGCACAGCCATGCAAAGCAGTGTGCTTTTAGTGAAGCACACAGACACAGCCCCATAATAAAACACATCCAGCACACAGTTAGCCCTTTAATCTCCCTAGATGTTAACCCCTTCCTGCCCAGTGCCATTAGTACAGTGTCAATGCTTTTTATTAGCACTGATCACTGTATTAGTCAGTGACACAAAGTCAGTTCCCCCCAGTGTCAGAATGCCCACCGCAGTCCCACTATAAGTCGCCGATCGCCGCCATTACTGGTAAAAATTAAAAAAAAGAAATAAATCACAGTATATACATCACCATTTGTAAACTCTATAACTTTCACATAAACCAAATAATTTACATGAATTGGGATTTTTTTTTTATCAAAGACATGTAGCAGAATACGTTTTGGCCTAAATTTATGATGAAATTTGAGTTTTTACATTTTTTTTCTGGACATGTTTAATAGCAAAAAGTAAAAAAAATAGTTTTTTTCTCAAAATTTTTTTTTTTTTATAGCGCAAAAAATAAAAAATGGAGAGGCGATCAAATACCACAGAAAGAAAGCTCAATTTGTGAGAAAAAAAGGATGTAAATTTCATTTGAGTGGAGCGTTGCATGACCGTGCATTTGTCAGTTAAAAATAACGCAGCGCCATAACTCAAAAAATGGCCTGGTCAGGAAGGGGAGTAAATCCTCTGGCGGGCAAGTGGTTAAAGTGAGAATAATAAACTACCGTATTTTCCGGCGTATAAGACGACTTTTTACCCCTTGAAAATCTTCTCAAAAGTCGGGGGTCGTCTTATACGCCGGTAACGGCATGCTGACACTTTTTAGGGGGGTGGCGCAATGCCGCCGCCGCCCCGCCCCCCCCTTCCAACAGAAGGGAAACTAAGCACAGGGGTGGGCAGGGGCTGCTGTCTCTTACCTGGCTCCGGTCCCACGATGATCCAGTCCAGGAAGCGCGGCTGCTCCTTCATTCAGTTCGTCCACTGGATGTTTCGCGCGGCTGCTCGGCTCCGCCTCCTCACCGGTGATTGGCCGCCAGAACTGTAGCTCAGGAAAGGCACACAGGCGGCCAATCACCGGCGAGGAGGCGGAGCTGAGCGGCCCCGTGAAAATCGAGTGAAAGCGATGCAGGTAAGTGTGCCGTGCTTAGGTGCTTCTGCAACCACATATGCTGGCTGCAGCAGCACCATACTGGAGCAGGGGTCAGCAAGTGTCAGTGGGAGGAACAGTGCCCCATCATTGGTGTCACTGATACCAATTATGGGGCATTATTCCTCCCACTGACACCAACGATGGGGCACTTCCCCCCCCCCCACTGACACCAACGATTGGGCACTTTATTCCTCCCCCACCCCACTGACACCAATGATGGGGCACTATTCCCCCCCACTGACACCAACGATGGGCACTATTCCACCCCCACCCCACCTGACACCAATGATGGGATACTATTCCACCCCCCCCACTGACACCAATCGATGGGCACTATTCCCCACCCCCACTGACACCAATGATGGGGCACTATTCCTCCCCCCCACTGACACCAACGATGGGCACTATTCCTCCCCCCCCCACTGACACCAACGATGGGGCACTATTCCTCCCCCCCACTGACACCAATGATGGGGACACTATTCCACCCCCCACTGACACCAATGATGGGGCACTATTCCTCCCCCCACTGACACCAACGATGGGGCACTATTCCCCCCCCCCCCACTGACACCCACGATGGGGCACTATTCCTCCCCCCACTGACACCCACGATGGGGCACTATTCCTCCCCCCACTGACACCCACGATGGGGCACTATTCCTCCCCCCACTGACACCCACGATGGGGCACTATTCCTCCCACTGACACCCACGATGGGGCACTATTCCTCCCACTGACACCAATGATGGGACACTATTCCTCCCACTGACACCAAAGATGGGGCACTATTCCATTGACACCAATGATGGGGTGCTATTCCCCCCACTGATACTAATGATGGGGCACTATTCCTGCCACTGATACCAATGATGGGGCACGATTCCTCCCACTGACACCAATGATGGGGCACGATTCCTCCCACTAATACCAATGATGGGGCACTATTCCTCCCACTGACACCAATGATGGGGTGCTATTCCTCCCACTGACACCACTGATGGGGCACTATTCCTCCCACTAATACCAATGATGGGGTACTATTCCTCCCACTGACACTAATGATAGGGCACGATTCTTCCCACTGGTGTGCACTGGAAGAGGGGTAGTCTTATACGGCGAGTATAGCCCAAACACTACATTTTAACAGGAAAAGTAGGGGGTCGTCTTATACGCCCAGTCGTCTTATACGCCGGAAAATACGGTACTCAAAATTTACAAATAAACATTTTTGACATTTAAAAATAAAAATCAGTGACCAATATAACCACCCTTCTCTTCAATAACAGTCATAAGCCTTAAATTCATGGAGTCTGTCACTTTCTTGATCTGTTGACGATTAACCTTTTGTGCAGCAGCAACCACAGCCTCCCATACACTGTTCAAAGATGTGTACTGTTTTCCTACACTGTAAATTTCCCGTTTAAGAAGGGCCCACAGGTTCTGAATAGGGTTTAGGGATCACTTCAGAAGAAGTCCGGAAGTGATGAAACGCGTCAGCAGGACGTGACGTCTGATGTAATTCCGCAAACCGGAAGTGGTGGAGCGGCCATTTTGACTATTGGAAAATCTTGAATAACGTTCCAGGAAGCTGCTCAGGCTGAGTCATGGGAACTTATTGGCGGTTTTTACTATCCCTAATGTAAGCATGAATATTAAATGTTTACCCACTAAACTGTGCTACAGGGGCTTTTCTCTCTAATTGCATGAGGATGATGGAGTGATAAGGGCTTCCCTTAAGGATTCGAACCCCATAAACAGCATTCTGGAGTAGGAGTCTGAGAAGTGACTACAACACCTGAGTGTTCTATGTTAAGGCTTGAAATTACTCTTGAGAGGGTAATAGTATGCATTTTTGCCCTATAGAAGTGTTCACGGAGTGGTCACCTTTTAATATACTTTATTATTTATTTATTTATGTATTATTTATTTCATTTAGTTGTTTATTTTTGGTTTATGAGTGTACACGGTTTGTCACATTTATTTATTTATTTATTTATTTTATAGTGTACACAGAGTGATCTGACGATTCACGTGTTACTCACGTTTTTGAATCTTGGTTTGTTTTTGCACGTATTTGTTATAAGTATATATTTATTGGTTGGTAAAGTAAAGTTTAATTTTTTTGAGGTACTCACCTGATCTGGATTTATGGGAATATTGAAGTTGGACACAGAGGATTTATTTATTTTGGACATTATTTATTATTTTATTATACGCATTGACTGACACAAAAAAGGTTTTATAATATTATTCACTTTCAAGGGTGAAAGTGTGACTTTTTTGGATTATTTGACTTTTACACAAGTTTGGTTTATATATTTTGTATTAATTTGGGATGCCGAATACTGATTAATTTAGGTTCAGTTAGTCTCCAGTGGAGTACTATGAGCACTGCACCCTCCACCTCTGTCTTTACTGTATGCAAACATTAGATTTTCAGTCAGACAGTGCCCGCATATAAAGATGATATACTCATAAAAACACAAGGAACATTTGCCATTTCAGTTATGTATCCAGCAACCATTTGTCTCAGAAGTTGGTATTGTACTCTTTAGCAGGTAAGGTTTTTCACATAACTGCCCGCTAGTCTCTGACATTTACTTGGTAAACTTTTTGATCATGCTTCAATGGAAAATGCTGCAAATTGCAAGATGTCTGCCAGTTTCCCTGCATGAACTGTTTCAGATCTTTCCAGAACATTTGAATGGAATTGCTTCAGTTTATTATATTGTTGAAAGATCCATGTCTAATTGTTAACAATGTCCAACCTTAGAACAGATGGCTTCATTTTCTCATCATGCCTCCCATATGTAATACAGAATTCATAGCTGTCTCAGGTTCTGCTAGTTGACCAGGCCCTGAAGCAGCAAAGCAACCCCAAGCCAAAACATTACTAGCACCACGCTTTAGAATTGATGTTAGGTGGTTTTCCTGAAATGGTGTCTTCACTGCACCAAAAGTGTACTGTTATTGTTACCTAACTGTCCTATATTTAAAGCCCAACTTTAGGAAAAGTAAAAGTCCTCCCTTGCAGTGGGGCTGCGTCTGCACCACAGGACTTTGCTGCTCGTTTATGCCTAGAGAACCAGGTAAAGCAGTTTTACTTACCTGATCCTCCCATTCCGCAGGCTCCTCCATGCTGCTAGATTGTTTCCTGCATCCTCCTCTCCTCTGCACCCCCATGGTTGGAAGCCCCTTGCATCATCAAGAATGATGCAGCAGGGACCATAGTTCTGCATTGTACTTGAGGGCCCCAAGGGATTGTCCACTGTCGGAATGTAGGGGAGCGCGGTTTGCTGAGGAGCAGAGTATCAGGTAAGTGCTTTTACTGTCCCATAGATATAAACAAGCAATCAACCCTTGAGGTGCGGCCACAGCCCCACTTCTCGGAAGGACTTTTACTTTTTCCGGAGTTGGGCTTTAATGCCTCAGTCCATAGTACATTTTTCCAGAAGGTCTGGTACTTGCTTTTATGTTCAATGGCAAACTGCAGCCTTGTCCTTTTTGGGCAGAAAAAGCTTTTTCATGGCACAGGTGGTAGATGCATGTACTTTGACAACAACAGTTGCAAGAGGCACCTGCATATCTCGCAGTGAAAATTTGGAGTTCTTGAAGACTTCTTTTAGCATCAGTCAGCTCTTGGGTTAAATGTGTTGTGCTGGCCAGTCCTGGCCAGATTAGCTGTCCATTCAAATATCTCTGCCTTAGCAGTCTCCTAAGGTCTGCTGGAGAGAAACATAATTGGATAAAGATGCCAGCTGAGTCTGTTGAAGGCAGTAAGAAGAAAATCCTCCGTCTTTTCTTCTTTAGTGATCCCTCTGTTCAATGTACTGTTCTGGCAAGTCACCGGGTAACAGGCTGCATGAAGCTGATCTCTGTGAGACTGTGATGGGATTTTACACTGTCAGGTCATAGGGAAAAGGCTGGTCATTCAAACTTTCGATGAATAGTTTTTTTAGCACTTTTATTGTCAGGTAGAGTACTAATAAAAGTAATAAATACTATTATATGCTATATTTACATGTAGTGTAACAAACATGCACTTAACATGAGAAAATATTTCTACGCTAGGTCCACTTTAAAGCGGTATAGTCACCATAACCATGCAGGATAAGGTGACAGTGTCTCTGAAAAGGGCATCCACTGACCCCTGATACTTACCTTGCCAGCACTCCCTGGAAGCTCTGCTCTTCTGCAACAAGCACTGATAGTATTGTACTTTTGTAGTATTAAATTACACAATAGCAAGAATATACAGTATGTGCAAAATGTCCGATATCACGGTGTACAATAATGCTTCTTACCTCGGTGACAACAAAGCATTTTAGCTTGAAGTCTGAACTATATGACATCTATTGAAAATGTATCCATTTCTATACAGTAAATGTTTTTTTTTCTCATTGCATGTTGGTTTATCCAGTACCAGCCATTTTATTTAAAGTCGTAACGGCTATAAAATCGAACCTTTATTATTATTATACAGGATTTCCATAGCGCCAACAGTTTGCTCAGCTCTTTACAATATAACGGGAGACAATACAGCAACAATACAGTTCAATACCAGAGGGTTAGGAGGGCCCTGCTTCTTTGAAGCTTACAATCTAGGAGGGAGGGGATGATGACGATGGTCATACTGTGTATTCTTCGTTGTGTGTACAGTGTTCTAAGACTCAATACATTTACAATACATGTAAAGAGATGCCTTAATAATTCTTCATTTTTCCCACTGAATGTACTAGGCTGTCAAGTTTAGATTGTCCATCTCTTCTCTTTATAAGTCTTTTGGGCTGATTACATTGTTTGGTATTGCATAGAGGCAGTGTACTAGTTTATTACACTCCAATGCACAAATCATCTTATATTGTTCTTTGTGTAATTGTCTTAGTTCACAAATGATATAGCTACTATATTTGCTTGATATTAAAGGATCTGAATGTATTTTCCAATCTACTGTAGTTATCACTTTTTATGCTCTTTATTTTATTATG